TCTACCTGCCATCACACCCACGAGCAACTCCAAAACGGAGTTCCCCTGCCGCATTGCCCCCGCGACGTGGCCGATCTCCGTTGCCATGTCGCCCAGCCGTGCCGCCATCAAAGCGGCCCCTTCTGTGGTAGCCGAAGCCAACGTCCCAGCAACCGTGTCCAAACCTTCGCACAGTCTTCGGCTCGTGTCCTCCATAGCCGCCGCCATCGCCGACACACCTTGCCCGACATCGGAACCACGAACTTTCCCGGAGTTCGTCCTCCGAGTCTTCGGTGTGCCACCTGAAGTCTCTGTTCCCCCGCCCTCTGACCCCGCCTCGCCAGTTGCAGAACCCATCCCTCTCAACTCGCCAGACGCCATTGTGTTGTCCATGGTGAAAGCAGCCTTCCGGCGGTACCACTCCATCGCATCCCACAACGGCCGTTCGAAAGTCATGGGGATGTTCAATTTCTTTCTCTCCTCCGTTGTTAGATCCCGGTATGCCTATTTGCCCGATCCATCGCATGCATCCCTGATTTCCCGGACCTTTTTTCTGCAGCACCGTCCATTTCTTTCGGCAATCTTCTCCTATGCGTGCATATCCGTTCTCCTTCAATCGTAACGCCTGCCCCTTGTCATGAGTGAATGAGCTCCTTCTGTATCAGCCATGCGAGCATCGTCCTCGCCGCTGATTTTCGCCAACAACACTCGCTCCTCTAGATTCCACAGGGTGTTCTTCTTCGGCGTCGCCGTGGACTTCCCCCCCTTTCGCCGCTCTCCAGCACCACCTTCTTTCGGCGGTCGACCACTTCCGCCGTCCTCCACGCTCCATTCCCGACTTCTCGCACTTGTGTCTTGCGTTCCACCTGTGTTTGACATGTTTCGCCCTTGTCATTCACTTGTAACACTATCCACACCTACAGTCGGATGCGAAAAGGACAGTCTTTCACCGTCCCTTGATCGGCAATCACCCGATGGTGGTGTATGGACTCCCCAGCTCGCACTGCCCCGCTGGCGATCACCTCCACCTGGCGTAGGGGCAGTTGCACCTCCCTCGTCGTACCGAATGGTACCCGGCCCCATTGGAGTTTGTTGCCGGTAGTCCTGATCAACCGGAGATGACCTGCCATTCACAAAGGTCTCGCCACCACCCACAACGCCGTGGTTGACAACAGGCTGCGCTAAAGGCGGCATACATTGCGGCCGGTGTGATGATGGTTGCGACGACTGCTGCGGATTACTCCCCCACGCCCCCGCGTCCGTCCTTGAAGATCCCCCCCTTCCAGCGTGTGGTTGCGGAGAATGGAAGGCAGTTCCACCTATGGACGGCTGCGTGCCCCGAGGTTGTGATTGCGGGGGGTATGTCCCCCGGCCAAAGGGCGATGATGAGTCCATCGACCCCACGATGTAAGCGGCCCGGGGATCCGCGACTCGTGCCACGAATTGCGATCGTGTGTCACTGGACAATTGAGAGTCCGGCACGTATTGCCATGCCGCTGCCGACAGGCTCGCCCGATATCTGCTGCTTTCCAAATTCGCGTCCATGTCCTCGCACACTTCCACGCCATCTTACCCATTCGATTCGCTGTACAACTGCGAGGTGAAACTACCGCCATCCGTAGCTATCACCGCATACAGAGATCCGACTCCCACACGCCACAGCCGAGGTCAGCCCCGCCGTGACAGGATGGTCACGAGAACTGCGGCCACACACACAGCAAGTACCGCCAACAAAAACACCGCAAGACCAAGACACACGACGAACGCCCAAACGAACATAGCAACGATGTTCCGCCGACCACGAAAGCTATGGCCCCCTTCGATGACGATGACGGTCGGTGCACACACTCCGCAATGGTGCACGGGGAACGACGTGTCCGGCGGTGCTCTTCCAGGTAGCTGGAACGGAAACGGCAGTGGCACAAACGAGAAGATGGGCTGTCCGCCGGCCCCTCGCACATCCACCACATCCCACCCTCGCACTTCCACGACGATATCACCGTTCGCCTGTGACGAGCTTCTCCAACAACCGGATATAACAGGCGAACGGATGGCACGCAACAACGTCATAACCTCGCTTGCAGGTGCATGGGCGCACCATAGTCGACTGCCACAGTCGAGACGCCCGCCTGCTAATGTCCGTGCATGGAATGCACGGCTTTCTGCGGACCCGCAATCCGATACCCTCGCAACATGAATCAGGCGACGACCCAGACCATGTGCAGAGGTGGCAAGCGAGGACCAAGGCCAAAGTTGGCGATGGAGGAATCCGACTCTCTGCATGGGAAGGCGTTTGACCGACGTTCGGATATGGCTGCTGCGATCCGCCCGTGCGTCGCCGAATTGTCTGTACTCTCTCACAACAGAGCAGATACCCGCAGCTGACACGGCTGGCCCACGTCGCTTGCATGTCCGCACCAAGGCTGCACGTGAGAGGGGAAGTTCGAAATTCAAAATTTTAAAAACGGACGGAAAGAGCGGTATTTTTTTTTTTCCCTCCGCGAGTGGGACTGGTACCCTTTCAAACGACCGTACGAAGTGGGCGATAAGAAATCCTTCTCGACCGTGCACCAGGTCCTCGTCGGAATGGCGAACGGACACAAGGAGGTCCACATTTCGTCCGCGATCTTGGAAAGGTTGAAGGGTACCCTTCACCGTGCCCTCGCTACCCTGCAAAAAATCGCGGCGACTTTTCCTCCCGTGGTGGTTTTCAGGTCGGAAACCGAGTGAAAACACGACAGAGGGCGTTTCCGAGGCAGCGTTTCCGGGTGTGTGGGGTTCCGGAAATAGGCTTTTGGAAAACGAAAATGGCCTTCCAAGGACTTTGCGCAAGCCTGTGGGGTACCAGAAAACTTTCAGCGGCAAAGTTTTTCCAAGGCGAAAACCTGTGGGGTCCAAGCCTTAGTTCCTTTAGCTCTTTTGTTCTTTTTGGCCTGCTCAGTCAATCCCCTGGGCTGCTGGGTAGTTAACGCTGGCAGGCCCCACAATCCTCACTTTGCTCAGATATTCTAATTTTGGTATATGGGACATGGGACGCCGTGAGGATAGTAGGTGGAGGGCAGGAGCTAGGGGAGGGAGGGAGATTCCACCGGTTCCCCCTGGTGGTTCTCCCCCCAGTACCCGACGGGGCTGCAGGTTAGGTGGGAGGAGTGAAGTTAGATTTGGGACGCTGGACCCGGTTTCCAGCCCAAGGAAGTCCTCCTCAAGGATGTACTGTTTTGTACTATTTTGTACAGATGTATCCATGGGACACTGGGCCCGGTTCCCAGCAGGTGACGCTCCGCACCAATAGACGGAGTGGCCTGGCAGGCAAAGCCTCAATCCCCGTGGTTCTCTTACCACCACTTGGATAGAGGCCTTGTATAAGGGCCTTAAAAAAAAAAAAAAAAAAAAAAAAAAAAAAAAGGTTCCTCTTTCTCGGGCATCGGATTCCTTCCACCTACCTGCACATCAAGCCAAACAACAAGTTCAAAAGAAGACAATGCAATCCCAAACTCATGTCAGACCTCCATTCACGCGTGCAAACACACACTTCCTCTACCTTTTCAGTGAACATTCAAAGAACAGGGTCAAGAAAGTGTGGGCTCACACAGGTGTGAAGGGGTCTGAGTCAAACTGACTGATTGACTGACCTTGAGTGATATTGAAGAGACGGCCCACTCAAGAAGACCGTGTAAAATCTCACTTCAGAGAAGACAAACGTTGCAACGAGTCGCCCACAAAACGATTCACACCACTCCCTAGAACGATTGCTTGCCGCGACACCCTCTCAACACACAATCATCTCCCAGTAATCCAATAACACCTTTGCGCTGCCGTCACTCATCCCCAATTTCACTGTTCCACTACGGCGTCACACTCACACCACTTTCAAGCGCACCACCACTTCACGGTACCTTCCCTGTGCCAATGCCCAGTCGCCGCCTAATATAGTCAGTGCAAGAATACTGCCGCCTCCGCCGTGAGAAACCGGCAGCGCTTCCGCACCACTACTACTAAAACCAGTGTCGTTGCCGCAAAAATTCGGCAGCACTTCCGCACCACCGCCGTCAAACCCGGCGATGTCGCTGCAAAATTTTGGCAGCGCTTCCGCACTATCGTCGTCAAACCCGGTGTTGTCGCTGCAAAAGTCTGACATCACCTCCGCGTTGCTGCCAAAAAGTGTCGCCGTAGCCGTACCGAGTGAACAGCACCTCCCTGCGCTCTACCAAGTGCAGCGGAAGCTATGACTGCCCTCACTCTCACGCTCCCTGCAGACCTCCAGCGCTTCTCTCTCTCTTTCCTTCACTGAGATGGTGGCTATGGTTGTGCTTCACAGTTATGGCTACCTCCAGCAGCTCTCCTCCCTCGCTTGCAGACCTCCACTTAGCTCCCTCTCACTCCACCAGCAACTCCTGCTCCAGCAGCCAGCATTCACCCAAGCGAAATGCTAGCAGCACCAGCCACAAATGAATGCTGGTTGGCTGGCTGCTGGCTGTTTTATAGCTGGCTGGAGGCTGAGGGCAGCTGCTTTGCCCCCAGCCAAAACTCGGAGTGAGGCAAGGGCTGAGAAACTTGATGTTCCCCTAGGGGGACCAAGTTCCAAGCCTTAGTATGGCATCTCGCCGCTACCCCCGGCCAGATGCAGCCCTAAATGGCGGTATAGAGCCAAGTAGAGCAGACTGTTGAAATCCAACAGTCTGCTATCGACTCAGGGTCCAGATGCTTCTATCCCTGCATTTGGCCCTGCGTCGCGAATAGATTCGCGACTTTTTTTTTTTTTTTTTTTCCAGCCCTTCTCTTCCCTTCCTTTCTCTCCTGTGCACCGATGTAACACCCGCGGACGCGTCAGCGGGGTCGAGCTCGGATCGCGGACCCAAATGCGTCTGCATCCGCGGCCTACCTGGTCCGCACCGCGGACCCGATTTTACACGAATTTTCCTGAATTAAATAGTAGGTAAACAAAACAAAAAAAAATATGGGGTTGTAGGGAATTTTAAGCCCTACAACCTTTTTTTTTTTTTTTTAATCCGACTTTGTTTTGGATTTTTTAGAAATCAAAAAACAAAATTGGATTTAAAAAAAAATAAAAACAAATATATAAAGAAAAACAGAAATTTTTTTTGGTCATTTTTTATCATGAGTTATATGGTCCGTGAATTTACTTGTAATTTTTTTGAAATGAATTTATGTTTTTTGCAGAAGTATGAGGTGTTTAGAAAAAATGCAGATGCAAAATTAAAAAAAAAAAGAAAAAAAAAA